GAGACCCTGTGGGCAGTTCCACTCTGTCCTCTAGGGGCGCTGTGGGTCAGAATGGACTCCACGGCAGTGGGTGTGGTTTGGGCTTTGCTTCGGTGAAGATTGACAGCCTTGGAGACCCTGTGGGCAGTTCCACTCTGCCCTCCAGGGGCGCTGTGAGTGGAATCAACTCCCCCGCAGTGGGTTTTTTTTGTTGTTGTTTTCAGGGATGCAGGGATGGGGTGAGGGGGAAGACCGTGTTTGAGGGGCACTGATTTCCGTCCCAGGGGATGAAAACATTGGGAAACGGACCGTGCTCATGGCCGCACAGCACGGTGAATGTCATTCGTGCCTCTCGACTGTAGACAGACCTCACTCTCCTGTGCTTCACTTTGGGTGCTCTGCAGACGCCGTGCTTTTCACGAGCGGAAGGCCTGTGGTACCTTTTTCCAACAGCACGCGCTCACTCCGTGCCTCTGTGTCCTATCTTGGTCATTCCCCGGATATTTCAAACTTCCTCATCATGCTTCTGCACACTTCACAGACAACACTGAGGTGTCAACATAACTCCTACAGGCACCGGCAACCCAGCACACGCGTGTGACTAGCTCGATCGGGAGCCTCGCTTCGTTGCGGGGGTCGGGAACAAACCCACGGGACTGCCAAGATCTGCCTGCCGCCCTTGAAAACGATGGGAATGGCGGCGTTCTGTTATATATTATCACAGTGAAAAAGGAAGGAAGACACTTAGTGGTGACAATAACAGTGTCTTCACCCCGGGGCTGCTGTGGGGAGACAGAGTCACCACAGGCAGGGCCTCAGCACAGTGTCTGCTGTGGGCAGCCCTTGGCAGCATTGCTCCTCAGGCCACAGGAAACCAGAGAAAGCTCCACTGGGCAGAAAGCCTAAGAGTCCACAGAAATAAGAAACACAGCAGGCACCAGACAGATGACCTTTTCAAACCGAATTATCAGCAGTGACTAAGGGGAGGCACACATTTTGCCATTTCCAGGAAGGTGTCTCCACATTGCTTTCTGCTTTGCTGTAGGTGTCTGGCAAGCTCCAAGGTCTCCTGCCCACACACGGCCTTCCACTCACATGTTCGGCCTTCCACTCACATGTTCGACGCCTCTCTGATTTCTGCAACCAAGAGGGCGAGGGGCCCAGTCCAGGCTAAAGTGACACGTGACACGCGATCCCAACCAAGCACTGCTGACAACAACATTGGGGGAGGAGCCCCTCATCTTTTCCAAGACCTTCCCACCTCCACACCGTCTCCCCGAGGGTCCCTGCTCTGCGCTGACCACTCCCCAGAGAGGGGGCCGCAATCACGCCGTCGCTTTCCCGCTCTTCTGTCCACGGCATCGCTCCGCAGCCTGCCCTCCTCCACCCCCTTCCTGTACATGTTTGGAAGGTGGAAGCTTGGAGTTTCTGAAAGCCCTGCCTGCTGCCATGGCAACCGCGAGGCCTCTGGGGAAGCACCTGCCGCAGGCCTCCCGAAGTGTGAGTGGGAACGGGAGCCTGGGGTTTTCCGGGAACTGGCTGCGAACTCCCTGGGTCCTGCTGGGCTCACGCCCTGCTGCCCCCTTGGAGAGGGTTTTCCCTGGGGCCTTTCCTACCCAGGCCTTCCTGGGAGCAGGAAGCGGCCCCCATCCGCCGAGAGAGAAAGCCACAGCCGACCCAGAGGCCATCAGCAGGGCTGCTGTCCACAGGCCTCCCCCCCACCCCCCGCTTCATCTGACTTCCCCACAACCCCATCTTCCTGCTGCACCTCGCAGGTCAGACCACAGACCCCAGCTGCCCCATGTCACTGAATTCTGGGTCCAGTGTTTCTGGCCATAAGGGACTTGTCCCCAGCACACACTTTCCCAGAGTCCAGTCACAGAGCCACCCAGGAACCCCTAAACACCAGATTCCCAGAGCCCCCTCTGAAAACCGCAAAGCTGCTGCTGAGGGCACCCCAGCACCTGGCGACCCCACCTGTGGCCACGTCAGACGGAGCCCCCAGGGTGTGCGACGGCCAACTTCTCAGAACCACGTCCCCAGGCCTTTCTCTGGGCACCATGGGTGGACTCGAACTCCCAACCTCTTGGTTAGCAGCCAAGCATCCAACTGCCCGGGCCACCCAGCGACTCCGAGCCACGCAGGCCTGTGGAATCCATCCGCAGAGGAGGGCTCAGGGACCAGAAACAGTCCTCCTGAGGTGAGCTGGGGACGGGGCTCTGGCCCAAGGGGGTGGGAGGAAGAGTAGAGAGGGCCTTCAAAATCACAAGGCTGGGTTAGCACCCGGCCGAGGTGGGAGGCACAGCCTTCCTGAGCCACGACTGCAGATGGATCCAAGCAACAACATGGCGCTCCCAGGGTTAAGACGGCCACATGAGAACACAGAGTACAACACACTGTAGGAAACTTGAGCATTGTACAATTTCTGGTTCTGCTACTTACATGGAATTCTTCCTAAAACCACCGAGAAAACACGAAATCATCGTTGCCTTCCAGTCGATCCCGACCCACAGCGCCCCTAGAGGACAGAGTGGAACTGCCCACAGGGTCTCCAAGGCTGTCAGTCTTCACAGAAGCAAAGCCCAAACCACACCCACCGCCATGGAGTCCATTCTGACCCACAGCACCCCTAGAGGACAGAGTGGAACTGCCCCCCAGGGTCTCCAAGGCTATCATGTTTAAGGAAGCAGATTGCTTCATCTTTCTCCACAGGCTCAAGTCACCGAACTTTTGGTTCCTTTAGAAAGTACAAGTACTTTTCTTTTTTAAAAAAGTTTTTGATTAAAGATTCCATAGAAGAATCCTGAGGAAAAGGTGGAAAATGTAGAAGAGAATTTCAAATTCTCATGGAATCCAGACTTTCTGGAGCTACTGAGGCTGGAAGAACTGCCAAACAACTGTCCTGAGATCTCTTTTAAACTTGAAACCAAAAATCTCCCCTGAAGTCTTCCTTAAACTAAACAATAGTTTGCTTAACTAGTCAAGAAGGTCTACCAACTAGTAAGGCAGGCCTGCTGGCTACTTAAGAAGGTCTGCTGTGAACACTGTGCTCTCCTAAGAACTATCTCAATGGCATCAAAGTGGAACAACAACTTGAAAGATGAGAGTGGAACCTTAGGGGGCAGTGAGTTTATGCAAATGGGAGAGGGGTGACTTGGAAAAGGAGGGGGAGAATGGCTGCATAACTCCAAGAATGTGACCCATGTCACCGAACTATACACGCAGAAGTTGCTGGATTTGTGTTATGTTCTGCTGTGTGGATTTTCAACAACAGCGGCAACAAAATAAAATTTAAAAAGAGCCAGCACTCAAAAGCATCTGTACAAAACAAAAAAGGGGGGGGGGACCAGGTTTGCTGGTCCGATAGAGCTTGGTAGAACCACTGAGACTATGGCCCCTAGCTGCCCTTCAGGTCCAAAATTGAACCCACAACTGTGGCTTCCAGCCAAACAAAGTACAGGCACATGAGTTGAACATTTACTTGAAGTAGATACACTCCTTGGAGAGAACAATCATGGGAGAAAGAAGGGCTGCTTACGCACCAGGAGACAGCTCAGGGAACAGGAGCGCATGGAGGGATGGACACAGGGAAGAGGTAATTATCGGAAGGAAGTGGGAGGGGAGCTGTTGCATTGTGGTAAACTGTGGTCAGTGTCATGAGACAAAGTGTATGCGAACTGCTGTATGGAAAGTGAATTTGCTCTGTAAACTTTCACCCAAACCACAATAAAAAAAGAGCCAGCAACTGAGTTTCAACCCTCACCCCAGTCTCCACACATCCCACGAGATGGTGATTCCATGAGACTATGACTATTCTACCGGTGGACACTGTTTCATTTATTCTGTGCTCTTTCAATGGGTGTTTTCCACCCTATGGCCCAGATAAAAGACCAATCAAGTCTCAGGCCAGACCCCTAATGCTGCCCACTGTTCCCACTCAGGACGGCAGCAACCCTGGGGCCAGTGCCCCGAGAGACAGAGCTGCACCTGGGGGCTGGCTGCCTGGGGTGGTGGCCACCGGGTCATTCTGGACCACTGAGATTCCCCCCGATTTCCCAAACTTCCCAGGAAGGGGCTCTGGGTTTGCAAATTTCAGCCCTTTCCCTGAAACTCAGGTTTCCTGGGATCATGACCGAGCTGTCAGTCGGCTGACGCATCTTTCACCCAGGAAAAGGGGCCTGCTGCAGAGAGACCACAAGGAGTGTCCGCCAGAAAGGAACTCCATTCCAGGCAAACACTCGAAAGAACTGAAAGTAATTCCTGATACATGAATGTGCGTAGCAGCACTCCTCACAATAACCGAAAGGTGCAAACAACTGATGCGTCCATCGACAGAAAAGTGGATAAACTAAGTGTGGTCTGTCCAGCAAAAATAAAAAAATGAGGTTCTGATGCATGCTGCCACATGGATGTGCAATCAAAACATGCTGAGTGAAAGACACCAGACACAAAATATCACAGGTGCGTGAATCCATTTGTATGGAAAGTTCAGACACAGTAAATCTGGAGACACAGAAAGACTGGTGGCAGCAGGGACTTGGGGAGGGTGCAGTGGGGAGTCACCACTTCAGGGGCCTGGGGTTTCCTTTTGGGGTGATGACAAGGTCTGGAACTGGAGAGACGGGGTGGCTCCCACCACCGGGAATGCACTTTAAAATGGTTAATTTTCCGCAATGTCAACTTCATCCCAATTAAAAAAATAAATAAAAGTGACCCCAGTACACCCACCTCCACACACACCCAAAGAAACTTGCACTCGTCCACATTTGTGCTTAGGACCTGCTCTCAGTCCCCGGAAACGAAGGCCGACCCACCCGCCATCTTGGAAAAGTCTAGGTAACCAGCCTAAGGTCAGAGGGCCAGCGGTGAGGAAGGCAGGGCTTTCCCTGACACCATCCTCACCCTTCATGTCCTTTTCCTGACAGGTCACAACCAGATCCTTCCTGGAGTCTCCTGGAAGTTCAGGGGACAGAAGTGGGTCCCGGAAGCCACCTTTGGCAGGCCCAGGTGACTCTTATCAGGCACACCTAGGAACTACTTGGCTAGAACTGCATAACAGCAACCAACTGGAAATGGGTCCAGGGAGCGGTGGTCTAAAGAATGTGTTGTTGCTGGTTGCCCTTGAGTCCATTCCGACCCACAGCGCCCCTAGAGGACAGAGCGGAACTGCCCACAGGGTCTCCAAGGCTGTCAATCTTCACAGAAGCAAAGCCCAACCACACCCACTGCTGTGGAGTCCATTCTGACCCACAGCGCCCCTAGAGGACAGAGTGGAACTGCCCACAGGGTCTCCAAGGCTGTCATCTTTACAGGAGCAGACCGCCTCATCTTCTTACGGAGCTAACCATCCACCTGGGCACTTTACCACTGCTCCACCAGGGGTCCTTCTATGCCACATACACAAAAAGCAAACTCACTGCCATCGAGTTGAGTCCAACTTCTAACAACCCCATTTTCTAAGACAGTAAATCTTTACAGAAGTAGATTGCCTGGTCTTCCCTCCACAGAGTGGCCGGTGGGTTTGAACCGCCAGCCTTCTGGTTAGCAGTCAAATGCCTTAGGCCCTGCACCACCAGGGCTCCTTACTCACTACACTCGATCACCCCCATATACTTGAAGGAAGGGAGGGGCCTTAGAGAGAGGACCCTATCAGACCAAAGCGTCAGACCACTACCCCCATCATCACCCCTAAGCACACACAGCTAACCCCAATCTGCTACCACAGCCAGGCATCCCGAACTCTGCCTCCAGGAGCTGGGCTTCCTGGCTCCACAACCCTACCGTGTACAGTGACCCTACAAGGGCCACTTCCAAGCCAAAGTCACACCAAATGAAGAGGTGCCAACAGCAAACCCCATCCACTCCATGAAACTTGAACTTCTCACTCCCCGGAACACAGACAAACTCCAAAGACTCAGAAAGCGGGCTCCGCCACGTATGTGGCGGCATCGAGGGCACCCTGAGCCTGTGGGCTTCACCGGTGCAGAGAGGTGCTCTGCGAGGCCCAAATGCCCTGGGTGGCCCACGCTCCCATCTCTGCACCCTGGCCTTCTCGGGCCCACCCACCACGCTCGCACCCCTGGGCCTTTGCACTTGCTGTTTAAAAGCCACCTTTCCCACAAGGTGCTTGTCTGCCCAGCCTAAAAGAGCATAATACAGTTACATTGTGGAGAACTGCAGTCAATGTCATAAGACAAAATGTGTATGAACTGCTGTATGGAAACCGAATGTGCTCTGTAATTTGGCCTGAGGGACATAAACACCGGTAGAGAGAGACTGGAAGGAGCTCCGATCCTATGACAGCTAAAACACTGAGGAAGGGGCTTGGAACTCACGAGCTGCTCCTAGTGGGAGAAAGATGT